TCTACAACTTTACTTAGAAGAATAAAAATATTTATTCAAGAAAATATTTTGTAATATTAAAAAATAAAAAAATTTGTCATTAAGTTTATATATAATTTTAAAGTAGTACCCCCTACTCTTAACTCACCATATAAACCATATAATTTATGATTTCATCACTCCGTTCCTGGTACTATAGGACATGACAAAATCGCATGTGAAAAATAAAAATAAAGTCACGCAGACCAATCAGATCTCAAATTTTGCGGACAAATCCACTTAACTCGTCATATAAACCATACACTCATTTACATTCGTTCCTGGTATAGTAACACCCCATATCCACCAATTTGATTTTAGGGATAAACGGTTACACGAACTATTGTCAATAAGCTACGTGAAAACAACAAACGAAATATTCAATAAAAGAGCTTCTTTAGTTCCGTATAAGATAAATCATAAATAAATACTGATAAAACGGTTGAATAACGGGTAAGGGTGAATTCGGAAGAAAATATTCAGGAAAACAGGCTTTTTAACTTACTTCCAACCTATAATTAAATATGAAGATATTACAATACTCTATATACTTAATTATAGATTCGAAGTAAGTTTAGAAGTTCGTTTTAATGACAACTCACTTCGTATATGAAATTTAAGCAATGTTATTCTTTGTTATTATTGGCTGATTTTAGGGTCAAACCAATCGGAGCATATGCGGAAGTGTGAAATTGGATATTAGAACGCAAACAACTGTAAGCTAGGTCAAGAACAAAGGATAAAGTACTCATCGCAAGTGTCACCAGCCCTAAACTCGGACCAAGTCTTTCTACGCCTCAATCGACGCCTTCCATTTAGGGATTGATTTTGGATTTGTGTTGTATTAGACCGAACTCTTGTGTCACAGGTCGAGCGCCATCCCGAACCAGAATCGACCTTTTCAACGCGCATGGGCGTTATTTTGAGTTAAATATGCTTTTTTTTAAAAAAAAGAGAGTTTCGAAATAACGCCCATGCACGTTATTACGCGCTTATACGGTATGGATATTCGGACTTGAGCACATGCTAGATAATGATACTTGAATTATCGATCATTAAAGTAGCTATTAAAGCTTTAACGTTAATAGTTTTGGTAAATTCTAGAGAAACTGTTGCGGCTTAAACCATAATTAGTTAAAGCTTATGTCGTAACTGGGTTACCCGGTTTTTTAGAAATGACCTGGAGCTTAAATTTTATGCCGTGTTTAATCTCTACCGTGTCTATTTAAATTTTTATGTTATGAAAACCAAAACATTAAATTGGTGTGGCCTAATATAATTTTATATATTTTTATAAGGTTTATAAATTATATTATTACAATGTCATTAAAATTATACTATTATAATAACAACTATGATTTAACAACATTATTTTAAGATTTAATAATCCACTTTTGAAACCAACAAATCAATTCCAGGAACAGGTTTAGAAAGACCTTGTGTTCTATTTTCAAAAGTAAATCCTTCAACTATTCTAAACTTAAAGTTTCTAATAATTATAGGTAAAATCATTTTAAGTTCTAAAAGAGCCAATTTATTTCCTGGACAAGCTCTTCGACCAGCACTAAAAGGGAAGTAATGACTAGTTGATATTTTTGATTTTATTTCTGGATCAAGCCACCGAGACGGGTTAAAATTTTCAGCATCGTCACCCCAAATTAAAGGATCACGTTGGATTGCGTAGATAGGGATAGCCAATGGAGTGTCCTAAAAGAAAATTTTAAAGTTATATATGTAATATAAATATCAAATTAAAATTGAATTATAAAAAGTTACTTAGAAAATACCTTTGGAATAACGTAGCCATTCATAATTTCATCTTTCACGGTAGAACGCATGAGTTCAGGTACTTTAAAATATAGATAGAAAAAAATAAAGAAAAATAAAATTGAATAAATTGAATAAATTGAAAAATAAAAAGATAGATATTGGACCATACAAGGTGGAGCAAGCCTTAAAGTTTCTTTAAAGACACATTCTAAATATTCTAAATGATCAATTTCTTCAATAGTTGGAAAATAATTACGATCTGTAAATACATCAAGTATTTCTTTACGAAGACGATCCTGAGCCTTAGAATTTTTTGCAAGATAGTATAGTGCCCAAGATAAAGTAACACTAGTTGTTTCATGTCCAGCTGTGAGTATTATAGTGACCTGAAATTTAACAAATTTATATAGTTTAAATAAAGGATTTGATCATTTTGCGCAGGTGCGTAGTAACTAGTGATGGGCATGCGCGTGATTTTTTGGATCCCGCGCGGGATTTTTAATATGATCCCCAATTCAGGCCACCCGGCCCGCATTAACATAATTTTAAGAAACTCACGATGTAAAGCATCACGCGCGGGATATTTTGGAAAACCGTGATTTGCCCATCACTAGTAGTAACGCACCCGCCTGATCGTGTAACGTAACGTGAAAATCAAAACAAACCCTTTGCGCGTTAGTTTAGGGTTAGGTCAGGGCTACATTAGAGTTAGGGAAGGGCAATAGCGAAATGTTCCTAACCCAAAATTTTACAAGGAATTTTTTTTACTAGAACGCGAAATGAAAAGAGGTTTCATAAACAAAAAATTGAGTTACAAGTAGGGTTGGGGCACGGAAAATTTTTGACATGCCTAAGAGGGCATGTCTTTGTCGAGGGCATGCCCCTCTGTGCCCTAGGCATGCCCTCTCTAGATATCATAATTGATTAACCTATGTCAAATAAACTATGATAATTGACCAATCAAATCAACAAAACTTCATATGTGAGGTTTTTCTATATAAAAGAGTAGGGACATGCATTTTAGGGCATGCCTTCTTGGCATGCCCCTGGGACACCGTGCCCCAACCCTAGTTACAAGCGATTTCTTAACAAATCGCGATTGTTTTGATTTTCACGTTACACTTGATCTTGAATTCTGATTGGTCGATCAGGTTTGTGCGTTACCACGCACTTGCGTTAAATTACAATACCCTTAAATGAAAATTAATAAAAAAGTTATAATAATTTAAATAAATTTTCACCTGACTACGTATTTCATCAAATGTTAATTGCTCACTAGCAGGTAAATTCTCGTTCGTTTGTATTAATACAGACATTAAATCATTTCCCCAAACATTAGAATTTATTAGCCTGGTAACTAGCTTATTGGCAATACCATGAATAAGTTGAACAGAATTCCAATATTGATCTTTATAAAAAGCTGGAAGAATTCTTCTGACGGATGGAAGATAGTCGGCAAGAAACACGTATAAAACATGAGGCATATTATTAACTACTGAATGATATGCTCGAGCTAATTCAGAGTGTGAAGTAGTAGCATTAAATTCATAATTAAATCCTATATCAAAACAATTTGATCATAATTACGATTAGAAAATGTTATTATGTTATTGATAAAAATCTAATGTGTAAAAGAATACAGATTAAAGCGTACCAACAAGGCCAATAACATCTAAAATTATTTTTGGAATTAACTCAGTAATCGTAATTCTTTCCTCATTCTTATTACCAATTTGTTTCAACCAAATATCTTTCATTTGATGGGCGGCTTTAAAAAATGTTGGAACCATTTCCTTAAAATAAAGTTGAAATAATCAAATATAAGGACCAATGTTTTTAACAGATGGTAATATATGATAATAGCAAAAGAATACCTTAACATTGGCAAAAGAGAATGAAGGACTCAAAGCTTTTCTTTGTCGTTTATGATCATCACCTTCAGCAAATGAGACGCTTTCGCTGATTAAATCTTTTGCCAAATTTCTGCTTAAAAAGAAATTTGGAAAATCATATGAACGAGTTATCAATATTTGTTGGATAAGTTTTGGATCGGAAATCAATACGTGAGGTTGATTCAATATCGAATGATACCGAACCATTACACCATATTCTTTTATTAACTGAGCAAAGGCTTCACCTCGCTTAAAGTTTAAAAAAGAGGTGTGATGTCCAAAAATGAGATGGCCACTAGGTGGACCAGGAATTTTACGTAATGGCGACAAATATACAGGAAAAATATAACACTTGTAAAGTATGTAGCCAACAAACGCAAAAGTTGCAATTAAGTAGTAATACATTTTAAAGTACAAAATGTAGCCAACAAACGTAAAAATTGCAACTAAGCAGTAATTTATTTTAAAGTACAGGAAGTCAAGGGAGTGAATATAATAGGGTGTTTCAGAATTGATTTATTTCGAAAGTAAGTGAGAGTTTAAAAAAATTTTCAATTATGTTTAAATTAAAAATTTTAGGAGTAATATTTGAATAGAGCTAAAAATAGCATTTATTTACCTTACATATAAACGTGAAAGAATACCCATATGCGTGTTAATTAATTGACCTACTCTATGGACCCATACTTTTGGGTCGGCAGCTCGGAATTTTCTTGACACAAGGATACTCCTTCACCGACAGTCATTTCACCGAAAGTTCGTTTAGTTGACTTCACATAGGGCTGTCGGTGAAGTAAGGCGAATCCGGCTTCGGTCCTGATCCGTCCTCGGTCACAAAACGGTCCTTTATTACTGTTTTCTTTATTTTTGGGACACCTGAAAAATCGTTGATGACCGAATCGGTAAGTTTTTGACGTCGATAACTTATCGGTTCGGCATCTGAAAATTTTTAGATGTCCCGAAAATAATGAAAAACAGCTGTAATGATTACACCATATCATAATGCATGAGGTCTTATTGGTCAAAAATAATGTATATGTCGCATCTGAAGTTGCTACTTTAGATATATTAGCAAGAATCCGTGCCGTTGAGCACGGGTAAAATTAGGGCTGTTAAAAGTCCAATTTTTTCAGTCCAGACTCCGTAATTAGGGACTTTGATAAGAAATTGATTCTTGAGTCGAGTCTGTGCATATAATAAGCATCCATCGTTGTTATTACCATAGTAAATATTGTGAATAGGGTTGGATCGGTCCTGAGAAGATCGGTTAAGGACCGGTCTTTTGACTGGTTACATGGTCTTCAGTTTTCAGTCTTTAAATGGACTGCCGGTTGTAAATTATGAAACCGAATTGGATTTGCATATTAATATAATATAAAACCGGTACCAGGAACGGAGTACAAAGTACGTAGTGTATGGTTTACAGGCAAGTTAATGTGTCTGTACAATTCTCAGCATTTG